AAGTTTTGTTCGGTTGCGAAGTGTGGGAACCGCTCGAATAGAGACAATGTTAAATTTTTTCGCTTTCCATCAATCCAAGATCGACAGAAGTACGTTTCTCAAGAGAGAATCAATAGGCAGAGGCAATAAATAACATTAATATAAAAACACTTTTGAAAAACACAAAATATCGTTGCCGATGGTAATAAAAATCACGGAGCGGCCACTGAATACTGGAGCAGCACTAAAAACTGATGTGGCACTGATGATTGAAAACCTCACTGCGCCGGACTTGTCTGAACTAACAACTCACAGGTTTATTTGAGAACGTTTGTTTATCCCAATGACATTTTGTCCACCTAACGAAATGACATTATATGATTTGTGACGTAATAGCTAGCGCCTGTGTGTTATAAATAGAGCTTAAACGCTTTGTTTGTCCCCCGAACGAAAGTGAGGTTATATGTGAGACTCATAACCGCGAAATTCGAACTGCGCCTCGACAATTTGACGTTTGATTCACGCATAAAACGTCAAATTGTCGAAGCAACGTCAAAAAACAGCGAATTTCGCTGTTATGAGTACTAGGCTTTATCAATACACGGGGCGAGTTTTCAAATTTGACATCGTTGACATTTAACAACCCGTATTCTAACCTCATAAAAATTTCAAAATGCCGGCTGGTTGGCAAAAGTCACGTGGTTTGGATTCCCTAATTGACGGCAAATTGAGTTTTGTTGGACTCGGGTGCGAGAAATCACTTTGTGCAAGAAAGTCTAGAAGCTAAAATGTGTGACCTGTGGAAAGAAATAGCACGACCATAAGTGGAAGAAATTTCATGTTACTAGTGATGAGCGATATATCACGAACTGTGATTTCATCACTGATGCCCGTATGCACCGTTCACTTTATTCTGTTCTAGTTTCCCTTTCAACTTAAGTTTTAAATTTCGTATGCACCGCCAATTGAATTTGCTCAAGTTCTTCTTAAAGTTAAGTCATCGAAATCCTCGACTTAAGAAACAAAAATCTGTCTTTATTGCGATTGTGGGGTTAGGTTAGGACCGGTTGGGTTTGTTGTAACATAACAACTATTATTGAACAAGATTTTCCATCCTTTACCATACAAAAAAATGGAGTTCTACATGCTAGTTGAAGGCGATTTTGATATTTTGGATATTTTCAATTATGGGCGCCAACAATTTTTTAGTTTTAATTTTTTTTGTGAGAAAATTATTTCTAGTCAATGGATGATTCGTCTTTTTTTCGGCGATTCAGGTTGAGAAAACCCACCGTTTTGCAAGTATTGTCTTCTTATTTTCAATTATATTAGCATATTTGCTTATCATGGAAATAAACAATTGTTTTTCGTTTTGTGAAAAATTTAATTCATGCTTTTTTCTATCATTCATATTTGAAACAAGTCTTGCCTTCACAAAATACCTCGAGAAACACAAAACAAAGAGTGGCCTAGAATATTTCATAGTTCTATAGACACCGACACCAAATAACCAATACACTACAAAATCACCGGAAAGTATAGAGAAACGAATTTGTTTCTTTTATATCTACGCGAAAAGTAAACAATTTTTAAATTGTCCAACCAACGAACTAACCAAAACTGTCAAAGTCAAACTGTATATAAACCTGTAAAAACTGATAAAAAAACAAAAGTCACCAAGAAATTGCAATGTTGCAAATTCTATCAGGTTCTAAGGTAAGAAAACAAAATTTGTTGACGGTGCATACAGAATTATTTCTCAACTTTAAGAATAACTTTGCTAAGCCTTTCCTAACGATGAAACGGTGCATAGGGGCATGATATCTAAAAATCAGGGATCACGACTGCTACCAAATTTCTATAAAAAGCGTGACGTGATCACGGCAACGTAGCAAACTAATTCTTTTCTTTTAAGAATAATTTTTTCTTTTCGAATTTCAAATTCCAAATTCCATATTGTCGTGATTTGCCGCCGCGATATTTGGTAGATTTTAGCTGCCAAATATCTCAACCGCTAGTAGAAAAAAACTGCATCTGTCTGCATCAGTTTTAGTTGTACTAAAATATACTAGAAGTCGTGATTTGGTCACGCTTTAAAATCACTGATATTCAAAAATCACGGTATCAGATCGTTCATAGTGATGTCTGCGGACCAATCAATCCAGCTACTATAGATTGTGGTAAGTAGGTACTTCCAAACTATATGTAAGACGATTTTTCATATTATTTTGTTAGTGATAAAAATATTAAAAACTGAAGATGAGGCTAGCATGAATCTCATTCAATATGTAGAAGTCCTTGAAACACAGCACCAGGTTAAGGTCAAAGCATTTAGACTAGATAAAGGAGGAGAATTTGTATCGAGTAGTTTTAGGAATTTTTGTAAGAAGAATGGTATGACTTTGGAGTATACCATGCCATATACCCCCCAAGAGAATGGAAACGCTGAAAGAATGAATAGAACTCTATTGGATAAAACAAGAACCAAGATTAAAGTTTCAGGTATTCCAAAAACACTATGAGATGAGGCTCTAAAATGTTCTGTGTATGAACTGAATAGAATTCCAACTAGAGCTTCACCTAGGGGAGTAACACCCTCGACAATTTGGCATGGTCGAAATGATCTGAGTAAGCTCAAGATTTTTGGGTGTCAAGCCTGGTTTACAATTCTACCCAAAGGGAATAAGTTAAATGCTAAGGCAAAGCAGGCTGTTATAGTGGGATATTGTGGTGGTGGCTACAGATTGTGGTTACCAGATGAGCAGAAAATAGTGCGATCCCAGAGACGTAAGATTTGATGGGAGCTTGATGGAGTACAAGAAAAGCCATGAGAAGTCTGAGAAGATAAGGATATAAAGTGGGCTCAAGGACAAAGAAAAACAGCCAAACTACTTATATACTTACCTGATGAAGAAGGGGAAAGAGAAGAGGGAGAAGAGAGACAAGAAGAAAATTATATTGAATAGAGACCTGTTCAAATGACCGATAATATGCAAGGATGCATTGGAAATTCAAGTAGTGATGAGTACGAAAAACATATGCCATGGAATAATAGGACTATAACAAGACATGGAAGAACTTTGAACAAACCCAAAATTCTAGATGACAGTGCCTATTGTTTGCTCACAGCGACTCCTAACTAAGGATTATGCAGAAGTCTGTAAAACTGCAAAATGTAGAGGGATTTAGAAAGTCGCCTAAATGCTGGAACATGAAATTTAATAAAGTCATGACAAGTTTAAATTTTCGAAGATCACAATATGACTATTATTTATTTGCGAATGACAACATATCCCTAGTAGTATTTGTTGATGATGCTCTGATAATTGGACCAGAAGATCAAGTCAAGGAACTTATTAACAACTTGTTTCGGGAATTTAAAGTCAAATCAATGTATGAAGTGAAAACATTTCTTGGAATGGATTTGAAAAGGAGTGAAAATGATATTCAAATTACCCAGAAAAGAATGATTAAAAGGCTATTAGAAGAATTTAGAATGGTCGAGACTCGGACATTTGCCACTCCAATGGAAGTCAATTTTCAAATGTATATAAATGCTACAGTGGTAGATAATGTTCCATATCGAAGATTGATATGTATCTATCTTTAGTGACCAGACCTAATAGCGCATATAGCATTGCTCATTTTTCCCGATTTTTGGATGAACCCACTTCATGTGCATGGAAAGCAGCTAAGAGAATTCTTCGGTATTTAAGCTGTACTGCCTGTACTATTTGCACAAAAATTTGTTAATCCTAAGGGTCTTCGTAACTTCACAGATATCTGTGGACCAGTGACTTTGAAATTAGAAAACTTGAGTGCCATATCTATGATAAAGAACTGTGACAATTCTAAGCGTAGCAAACATATAGATATAAAATATAATTTTATCAAAGATCTATATTTGAAAGTAGTTATATTACTCAAGTAGTTTGTTCTGTAGAAAACTGTGCAGATATGTTTACAAAATTTTTAGGAAAAGAAAAATTTGTAAAGTTTATCTGACGTTTAGATCATGATTATAAAACCAATTTACTATGTACTACCTATGTAAAGAAATTTTATTATGTTGTACGGCATTTTAAACTGTATTAAGTGAAGAATGTGAGTTTAGTTTGTTAATAGGTAGGTACCATCGTCACCAAAAGTAACTGGGACACAAATAATGCATAATAATCTCCTGGACTAATTCTACTGTCATTCATTTCAATGCATTTAATGCATAGTTTGACAAATATTTGACAATAAAATTCATATAATAGGACGAGAGCTAATGCGCTGCTGTCCCAGTTACTTTTGGTGACGATGGTACATCTAAATTGATGTAAAGCTACAAAACGACATTAGAATTGATTTGATCAAATGATCTTCAATTTCCAAATTCTGATTATTTCCTGCTCTTGATTTGAATCAAGAGCCGGGAACAATCACTAAATAATTAATTAATTCATCAATCTAGCAACTCTGGAATCAATGCAAAGCAACAAAATAATCTTAGAATTGATTTGATCAGCTGGTATCTTTCAATGATCAAATTTTGATTATTCTAGGCTCTTGAAAAGCAGTGTAAACGAAGTAGATAATACAGTGGCAATTTTATTAGGGACCTGAATGCTAATATACTGAGATAAAATTTGAGCAAATTGAATAATTCTGATTCAAAAAAAAAGTTACTGACAATATAAAGAAAAGTTATCAAAATCTTAAGAACAGAATTTAGCTGAAGGCGATCTTTTGTGCGTCTAGGAAAAGCATCATATCCCAAGTATGATAGGAAAATGGATGAACAGAGATATAAGGAAATCCAGGGACATTATTCTAGCTGTAGAAAGCTAAACTTGAAGGTCATCAATACTGTGAGAGAGAAATCAATAAAAAACCTGAGACAATCAAGAATCTTGCTTTTCGGGAAGTACTCAAATAGTAGAAGCTCACCAACATTTATTGCAATATTCAATGGAAAAAGCTAAATTGTGATTATCCAAGCAACAGAGATACCAATTGAAATTACTTATAATTACCACATCTATTCTTCCTTGGTATGAATCCTTTGGGGCACACAAACTTAACCTTTTTCATTTTAACGGTGCCATTTAAACTGGCCACATTAAATTGATCTATGGATTCGTTGGAATATTTTCCCCTGACTTGAAACTTGAGATTCATTTTCTTTTTCTTTTTGTGTCGCAAGTTTTTATGAGGCACTTCTTCCAGAATGGTCGCACCGGATTGTCTCTTTCTTCTCGAAATTTTATTAGTGTCCTCCTCAGATTTTTCAGCTTCGCATTCCGATGTTATATCAATGTTGCAATCCTTACTTGTGCATATTGTGTTGCTTATAGATGATTTAATGCTGTTTTCAATCTAAAACAAAAATATTATTAATTGCCTTTTTATTGCATTCACATACATACATCCTGGATTTTTTTAGTATCATTACACGAATCACCATCCACAGAAACTTGTAAATCTCCTTCCTGAATTGTTTCATCTGGCACTACGCTTACTAAAACACTAAAAAATAAATGCCAAACTTACAACCTATTAGGAAATTAGTACCAGTACACTCTGGAAACAATAAGCCTTCCTGGTTGAACCACATTGCTTCAGCATGGTTGCATACAAAACTGGTACTATTGTCCAAAGTGGGAACAAATGACTGTAGAGGAATCGCGTAACCTTCTTCACATGTTATGACACATTGGACACCTTCGGTTTGGTTTTGACATTCAGATTGGCCATTTGAGGGTGATACAAACTCAGGACATTGAGACACTATATTGGATAATCATATTACTACATCAGTTATAACAAAATTACTTCACCAACCTTCGAGTGTAATGTTGATATTACAAATATTCACATTTCCAGAAGGGTCTTTTGCCGTATAAGTTACCAAAGTGGTACCGATTTTAAAATTGCCAAATTCGTGGTTTTTTTTAACTGTAACATTTTGTGAGTTATCAAAAATGTTGGGTTCGTCCCACGTAATGTTTTCTTGTGAATTTAGCGCTACTAGAAATGTTGAAGGATTTTCGCAGCCTTCAATTGTTGGCGGTTCCTTGTCTGAAATTTATTATGAAGTTGTGTGGGCTCAATAATAAGTAACAAAGGTAGGTACCCAAAATTTCAACGAAAAATGTACACTTAATAACATTGTTGAAAGCATCTTGAGCGAAATACGTCACTGGGGTTAGTCCAATGCTGAACTTATAATCTGTGATATTTATTATGCCAGGTTTAAGCCAAACGGAAACTTCCAAACCTGAATTATCTGTTATATTTGGTTCCTGCCAAATAACTTGACCATAATTGGTGCCTGGTATTGTAGAGGACGTTATGTTTTCAGGACAAATAAGATTAGGTGCAGTTACATCTAAAATGGATTAATTTTTGGCTATACAATCTAATAAATTGCAGTTTCTTACCAGTGCATATAGTTTCGTCTTCCCCTTTTTTGCCCCACAAACCATGATTACCGCAAGTTTTATTGCTGGTTCCCACCACTTCGAAGCCTTCATCACAAACAATTTCACAAGTTTTACCAAATTCTTGTTTACCAGACATACAGGAAGCTGGCTTGACTTTGCCGTATTTTATTTGGGGTAATTTTTGACATTTAATAGCTAAAAAGCACAAATTATTTTGGAAAAAAAAAAACCAAATTTTCATTTACGTTTGCAAATGGTTCTAAGTCCATCCCATTGGGCTATAGGAAGACAAGTTCTTTGAGTGGATCCAATAAGCGAATTGCCTTTTTCACAAGTGAAGTTGCACACAGTATCTACTGGTAATTTTTTTTCAGTTTTCTCATAAACTACACCCAAATCGGTTTGTTCGCATTTTACTGAGCCATATTTTGGAGTTGCTAACTTATTGCAGGTTTTAACTACAAATAATTAATGTTAATGGGTGTATGTTTAAGTGGACAGTTCACCTTCGCAAGTTGGATCAGATCCACTCCAACTAGCATCCTCCTGGCACAATCTAATGCTGCTTCCAACTAAAGTATATCCAACTTCACATCTAAGCCCACAAGCACTGTTGAGAATATTGCTGCATTCTTTTTTCTTCACTATGTATCCGTGATCAGGTGCACTAATCAATGAACACTTCATTACTGAAACAAAATTTTGTAAAACAGTGCCCATTCTAAACAAACAAAATTACTTTTGCATCCGATTCCAGCTTCATCCGCCTGGAAGCCTCTTTTGCAAACGCAACTCTGGATTCCGTGCGCTGGAGTTATGGTGGTGTGATGGACATCTGGACAAGGCAAACAAAGATTTGGTCCGTCAGAGTAAGTGCCAGGAGTACAAGCTATAAAAATAGTCGATATAGTTTTTAAATTGGTGGTTCAATAGAATTCTTACGCAAACAATTATTTTTCATTCCGGAGCCGTAAAATCCAGGTTGGCAAGTGCAAGAATAGTGTCCTGTGGTGGTTCCGCAAGTGCACAAAGCATTTTCGTCACAACAATTTGCTTTTTCGTCACACAGTTTGTCACAGGGTGTGTTAACTCCTAGAGGTAGATAATCGCCTCCAGATAAATCTAGTAGTAGTGGTAAGAAAAAAGTAAAAAAATTCCAGGGGTGAAATAAAATGCACTCACCAACATGAAGTGCTCTTCTAGCTAAACTTTCAAATTCTTCAAAACTGTCTAAAAGATAACTGTAAAATTCTCCAGGTTTGGAAGATAGTTCATAAAGCTCCTTATAGTTGCCATTGCTTATACCAATAGTGAAAATGGTAATTTGATTGTTTTTTAACTCATTTGATAAGGGTACGGGGTTTTCACCGTTTGAATAACCATCAGTCACCAGGAAAATTACTTTTTTTGAATCGTTACGATTGGATGAATGAAAAATTTCCTAAAAGTGATTATCAAAAAATAAAAAACATTGAAAATTGATTTATTACCTTTGCTTTTTTAAAAGCTCCTATTGTATAAGTCTCGCCTCCTTTATATTCAATATTCATTAACTGATCATTTAGTAGAAGACATTTATTGTGCTCCTCTAAAGGATTACTAATAGCATCAATATTTTTTATCTATAGAAAAATTTCATTAAATTTATTTAAAAAAACAAAAAAAAAAATACTTACAGTATCACTAGGTGAACTAAAAGTAACAACAGCAACCCTAGTATGATTATAATCCACAGTAATATCACTTAATAATTTCTTAATAAATTTGAGTTCACTTTTAAAATTGTGATCGCCAACGCTGGAACTTGCATCAACTAAAAACACTATGTCCAACTTTTGAGAAACTTTAAAAAAGTCCACATTTTTCTTGAAAACCTCTCCCAAAACATCCAGTTTGGATTTGAAAATGTCATTTTCCAAACTGTTGCCGCCGTTAATTTTGTGTAATTTTTTATCGCCGAAATTGAGAAATTCACTATAATTATTTAGCGCGTCCAGATTTAATTTTTCAATATTACCACTTGCTAATTTAAGTAAAATTAAAGACAAGAAAAATTTGAGATTCATTATACCACCAAAACCAAACAGATTAAGAAATGCAACAATTACGAGAAACAACTATTATTCTTAATAGAAATAGGAGTGTTCGTTAATAATAATTAAATTGTTATCGCACATGTGTGTGGCATCTGGGAAGTATTATTAACTCGCATCAGTTCAATGTTGTCTCCAGAAAAAATACTAATGCCATAGGCGATAGGCGCCTAGCTATTATAGATTAGTATTTTTTTAAAGTACATAGCGTCTTTGAAATTGGAATAAAATTTCTTGGGAGAAGTTTTCTGAACATGAATTTTTTTCTATAGTTATTTTACATTTAACTTTAGTCGCTCGAAAAAAAAAAGTGGTATATCTTAACGTAATTAGGCCAATTAAATCCTCTAGAAAACTCTAATTAATAGTTTCAATGCAGCTTTAATACCTACCTATAGTTTCGTATCTGCGAATATTGAAAGTCGAAATATTAATGGACAGGTAGGTAAATACTTATTATTTACAATCATAAATGTAATGTTGACTATACTGACTTTTAAAAAGTTCGAAAATGTCACTTTTTTGACTTTTACTTTCGGCCCACGGGTCGAAAGTTTACTTTCGACCCGTGGGCCGAAAGTAAATGAAATTTTTAAAATTTATTGTATTTTTTGACTTTTACTTTCGGCCCACGGGTCGAAAGTAAACTTTCGACCCGTGGGCCGAAAGTAAATGAAATTGTTAATTATTGTATTTTTTAGTTTTAATCCAAATGAAAATTTCAAAATTCGAATGATTGTAAATAAAATAGTATACATACCTCGGTGAAAAGTTTCATTACTGTCTCGAGATTTAAGTTAGACCGAGGCGCAGCGACAGTAATGAAACACTTTCCACCTCGGTATGTAATATACTATTATTTTGCCTCATTGCTTTTTTAATTTCAATCCGATTGTAAACTAATTAGGCCCAAACCTAGACAGCAAGGGCGTCGCCAGAGAGGGGCAGGGGGGGCAGTTGCCCCCCCCCCTAGAGATTCGAATTTAACTAATTAAAAACAATAAAAAAAAAACAAAATAAAAAAATAGAAACAAAATCGTTTGATATTGTCGGCTAAAAACTTCCGGAAGCAACGGCAACGTCGGCAACCGGCAACACTGTTCCGCTGCCTGCTGCACTGGCATACGCGCACGCCGACTGCCGTTGGTGACAAGTGACGACTGGTTCCGGTTCGACGTACTCTTATTCTATGGACGTACTCTTAACAATTAAAATATAATTTTGGAACCAGTGTTTTAGTGAAAGTTTTTCCTACGATCTTTTTTGGTTTAGTGACTTGAGTAGAGAAATATTCGTTTATATTTTCTTTTGCCGAGAGTTTAACCTACAGACATGGATATCAGAAAATTTTTGGGTAAGTAGTTGTATTTAATTTAAATAATTTTGTGAATATGAATTTTATTATTTTATACGTTCTACAAAAGTGCATGTGAAAGGAAAGGTTTATTTTTATAGCAATCTGGTAATATGGGAAATTAGAATAATTTTGATGCCTTGGTATAAAATTATTGTTTGTTTTTGCAGTGAATTTAAAAAGAAAAAAACCTGAAGAAAGAAGTGACACTAGCGATAGTGATGAACAGGGTGAGAAATTGGAAAACGGACAGAAAAGGGAGACGACAACAGGAGAAGGTTCTCTTCAGGAACTAGATCAGGTCCCCGATGCACGTTCTGCGGCTCTGTCGAGACCAAGCTCCTCCAAAGGTATATTTTTTATTTTTATTTAAGTATTACGTTCCTTCTTCCTTCTATTAAAAAATGAGTAATCGGAATACGTATTTTTTTCAGATTTAGATTTAGAGGGTTCAGATTCAATCAGCAATAAAAATGACATCGGTCGATTTGTTGGTCGAGCGTCGAATTTATCAACCCAACAGAAAAAGGAATTACTTGAGAACTGTTGGATGCCTTCTAAGACGTATAACTTTGCCAAAGACGCCCAGCATTTGAAAAGAAAGTTTAATTATTCATGGTTGGAAATATATTCTCCATGGTTAACCTACTCCGGACACCAAAAAGGAGCCTTTTGTAAATATTGTACGTTGTTTCCGCCCAATCTGAGCTCTGTTAGAGGCGTATTGGGTTCATTTATTACAAGGCCATTTTGTAAATTCAAAAATGTTCATGAACATTGCAAAAAGCACATGGATACCCAGTTTCACAAGACGGCATTGGAAGCGGCTAGATCGTTTCTTGTAAGTGTGCCAGTGGATGTGCAAATTAACAAATACTTCCAAGGGAGTCTTGAAGAAAACAGAAAAATTATAACATCGATAATTTCCTGTATTACATTTTGTGGATCCCACGACTTAGCTCTGAGGGGTAAACATTATGGTGACGGAATTCTGGAGGGGTTATACAAGCTACGAATTGACGCGGGAGATTTGGTTTTGAAGAAACACTTTGAGCATGGAAAAAAGAATGTAAGCTATCGATCAGTTGATATTCAAAATGAAATTATCAGTATTTGTGGGGATGTGCTTAAGGCGGATATGATCATGAAAGTGAAAAAAGCAGAAGCATATAGTGTTTTGGCAGACGAGACAGCTGATGTCTCTGGTACTGAACAACTATCAATTGGGGTGCGATATTTTGATGAGGAAACCAGAGAAGTCAATGAAGTATTCCTCGGCTTTGTCGAGCTTAAAGCATTGGATGCGAAATCTATTGCAAAAGCAATAGATGAGTTTTTGGTAGAAGAAGATCTTGATACGGAAAAATGCGTTGGTTTAGGATTTGACGGTTGTTCGACGATGGCCGGAAAAGAAGGTGGTGTGCAAGCAATCCTGCGCAAAAAATATAAAAAAGCTTTGTTCTTTCATTGCTCGTCGCACAAACTAAATCTAGTCATCAATGATCTGAATATTCTGTCTGAAATCCGGAACACCGTAGGGACCATCAAAGATATTATCACATTTTTTCGAGAATCAGTTTTGAGAAGGAAGTTGATACCTAATATTTCCAGGCTTTGCGAAACAAGGTGGATCGAGAAACACAAAAGCATCAGAGTTTTTAAAGATAATTTTCCTGTTATAATGGAGGCCTTAGAAACCTTGTCGCGGGAAGGAAATAGTGCTACTAGAAAAATGCTTATCAGCTCCATGCGGCAGCTTCTAGAGTCTCGTTCATTTTCAGCCTTATTCTGATAGCCAAATACTCAGCTATGATGGAACCAGTAGTAAACGTGCTTCAATCCGTAGCTTTGGATGCGGTTAAGGCATCCCAGCCCATTAATCGCATTTTGCAACTAATAAAAAACCACCGTGACAATCCCGAAAAAGTCACAGATGAAGGTATAAGGGATGCTACTGTCGTTGCAGAAAAAATTGGACTGGGAGAGGAGATGCAGTCAGTGCCCCGTATTGTTGAGAGACAACAACATCGAAGCAACCACCCTGCAACAAGTCCTTCAGAATTCTGGCGGAGGTCTTTAATAATACCGTATTTGGACTCTATAATTAATTCTCTTGAAGTACGCTTTTCTGAAGAAAACACCCCGTCGTTTGCATTATCGAAATTACATCCGGCTCAAATGTTAACTATGTCACTAGAAGACGTCGTAGAAGCTTGCGAAGTCTTCTCCCACTTCTACCGTCTACCAAATATCAAAAATGAAATCGAACTTTGGCAAAAATTATGGCATGATAAACCTGAGTCAACAGAACTAAGCATTATAGATGTCCTAAAAGAGACTGAAAAGTTTTTTCCCGAAACAAGAAAAGCTTTAAAAATTTTAATTGCTCTACCTTGCACGACGTGTACTGTTGAACGATCATTTAGCAGCTTGCGAAGAATTAAGACCTGGCTGAGAAGCACTATGACAGAAAGTCGCCTCAATGGCCTCGCAATGATGAGTGTGCACAGAAGGCATATTTTTGAAAATATGGAAAATTTTATCAATAAAGTGGTTGACAAATTTACAAAGAACCCTAGAAAATTATGTTTTAATTAATATTGTTTGTTTTTTTTTATTTTAATTTTTGTTTTTAAATTAAAAATCTTTCTTTAAAAAATCTGGCCAGTGTCTTTGTATGTACATACATATATAATATTTCCCTAACCCCATTCCCATTTTTTTCATCTTGGCCCCCCCCTGGCCCACTGGCTGGCGACGCCCTTGCTAGACAGCACAGAGATATCATTTATTTATACCTTATTTTAGGTTTCTAAATTGCATTTTTTAATTTATGGGCAATTTCCTAATATTATGTGAATGTTTGATAGAGAAATCATTGTTTTTCTATTACAGGTTTTTGAGAAAATCGACTTTGAAGTTTTAAACAAAATGTCGACTAAATTTCAACTTTCAGGCTCAAGATCTTGGAAACTCCAAAAGATACGAAAACCAATTTTACACAGCCTTATAGAGAATTTAATGCTCTTTCCAATTATATGTAGTTATTATTCATTTGCTTAAAAATAATCCATGATATAAGCAATTATTCATTTGCATGTCAAGATTTCAAAAAATAACCAAAAATGAGATTTCCTTTTAGATTTTTTCTCCTGACTAATTTGGACTCGCTCTATCGATTTCTAAAGTTAAAATTGAGAAAACTCCAAAAATAAAAATTTTCAAATTTTTGCACTTTTTTCTAAGGGTACCTACCCACTGAGCAAGAAACATCGTTGGGATGTTTTGTAACGTTTTTAAAATGAAACTTATTGAACGTTTTTTACTTAACGTAGTAAAGTCATATTTGTTACTACTTTTCAAAACGTTTTGCATATTTCCCGTTTTCAGAACGTTATTTTGCAATTGTATTGGTTCTGTTGTAATACTAACGTTCCAATTATGTGAAATACATGTTTACCCCAGCAACGTTGAGAGTTCAACGTTGTGTGAACAGTATATTATTTACGTTCTTGCTACGTTTCACGAGATGACATGTTTGTGACGTTTTCTGTTTTATGTTTTCGTTTCATTTCGAAATAAACGTTGCAAATTCGAAACTAACTTGTTTAGTAATATAACGTTTTTTTAATGTTAGGTATAACATGCTTGAAACGTCCCAAAAGACGTATCACTTTCATTATTTTCGAACAACGTCGCAGTTTTGTTTACATTTAGGTTAGATGTTAGGTTAGGCCAGGCCTGCTGTGTAAAAGTAGGTGTTCCTGGATTTTTATTAGGTAAAATTGAGTAAAATATAGATTATTTTATGCTGTAAAACCAATTTTAATTGTTGATATCATCCTATGTGTGTCTTGAAGTGTTTTTTTTTGCGAGGTACTAGGTACGTATACCTATTTATATTGTATTGTGCTCCTCTGAAACTGATGTGCTAAACAAAACAGGATGAGTCTCTGAAGATGGACCACAAAGTAAGTTTATTTTTCACCAAGAAGTAGATGTATGATGTATTAGTTATTATTTTAGGTATTGTGGTTGTGCTGCTATCATTCTTTTTTAAAATAAATACCTACAAGCAAACTACAAGTAGCAGGCAGAAATGGGGCCCAATTCGTAAGAAGGGGATTGGCCGAGGGATTGACCAACGTTTTCGCCAGTAAATTGTCTCTACATTGTTACATTGTTCGTGAGCTGGCCAGAAAAATTATTTCAAAATAAGGGATTTGTGAAATCGAGGTTTGATTTTGATCTAAAATATGTTTTGATTGTAACTAATTAGTTTGTTTTTTCTAAGTCCTGAATGA